ATGATTTGATTTTGTAAATACCTACGTCGTCAGATGCAAAGAAAAGTTGATAGAATAAATAGAAAGTGTAACCACCTCTGGCTATCACTACGAATACCTTAAAACATATCCACACATATGACAATATACCAGTAGAAAAATATTCCATATTTCCATAGGGATCGATAGGAAAACATCTTGCATCTTTCTGCTACCTTCTACTATGTAGATAGATGTATGGACCCAATACAAGGGTCGCGGCTCTGTTGCATTATTCATAGCAGTGACGTGTTGACGGCCAACTGAAACTGTAATCTTGAAGTTGGGGTGTGGTTATAGTGCTAGCGATTAGCGAGAAAGTAAGTAATTAAGAGTGGAAAAGCCATGTTTCGGCACGAATGGGCCGGCTCGACCGGAGTGATACCACGGCCTCACAGAAAACCGACGTGAAATAGCTTGCGTTGTATTTTGTCGTGTGAGTGAGGTTACCGGAGGCCCAATTACCCCTCTCCCTAGTCATCCGAATCCCTGAATCCTCCACAATCCTTAAATTCCCAATTCCCAAAAGGCCGGTAATCCACTTGTAATGCCTTAGTGTTTCGGGTGTCCATGGGCGGCGCCGATTGCTTACCATCAGGTGATCCGTCCGATCCAACGATCCGTTTACCGGCTTATGATATAAAAAAGAAGTACATATTCATTTTTAATGCGTTGTCTTCATTTGTATTCTATTATTGTATATATGTATGTATGTAAGACCAGTGGTTGCGTGTAGAGAAAACAGTTCGTAAGGAATCTGCTTTTATAACAGATACTGTAACATGAACACAATAAAATATTTTATTACTCGGAAGAATACACGTAGTTACTTTTTAACATTTATTAACTCGTCGAGTACCGGTTTTGTAGACACAATTATAGAACAATAGGTTGCGGTCACCGGTGACCGCTTGGTGTTTGACAGTTTAAATACGAAGGCGAATGCTTAATTATAAACAACTTTAGTCAGAATCAGGAAGCAATGTGACAAAACCGTTGATCAAATTCAAATTAAACTAAAAACCGCGGGGTACTCACGTGAAAATACTGAGAAAAGCTCTACTAGTGTACAGAAGGTTGCACGACATCTCCTAGACCGCGGACGTTGCTCATGAGGAATAGCCCCTCTGTGGCTCGAAACTAGTAGAGGTTTCTCACTATTTTCACGTGAGTAGCCCGCGTTTTTTAGTTAATTTAGTATGTTTAGATATCGATAACAGTCAGTAATTATAATAATCTGATTTGTATTTTTTTATTCTTACATTTATTTAAATAACTTAATCACTTTATACATAAAACTAATTTAAAAATATATGTAGGGGAAAGTGTTGTACCTATGCACGGTTTTACCTGTGGACACCACTAATATCTTAAAAAATAAACACATAAATTAAACGAATTGAACGCATCCGTAAAGTATTTTTGATACGTGGCAACACTGACTTGCTGCCATCTTGCGTTTTTTGTTGAGTAACCGGTGACAGACTGTTAAAGGTTTTCGCGCAAAAAAGTAAGTATTTATCACTTTGTCGTCCTATATTTTTGTCAATAGATGCAGAATATAGATAGCTAATTTCGGTCAGACTGTAGTGTATATCGTTAAACATCTATTTTAAGCGGTATAATAATGTCAACTCGTAGCTATCATGACGGTAACATATTTTAAGGTTATACTGCCAGATTTGTACCTGTGGACATCGAAATGCATGTACCTATGGACTGTCCACAGGTACAAAATTTAGTTCAAATTTTTAGTTTGAATAGAATATTACGATTTAGAAGTATTTTTTATTACTTTTTTCAGTGCCTCGTAGTAAGGATGGAAAAACGCGACGTAAGTTGTGTCCAGAGACATTATCTGAGGCAATCAAAGAGGCTAGAAGTGGATGTTCTTTGCGAAAAGTTGGAGAAAAATATAATATACCAAAGTCTACCATATTTAAATACCTTCATATGAACAAGGACAACAATCTGAGCGAGACCAATGTAGCTATTTTGAGAAATGACGTGAAAAAAGTATTTGATGAAGAAGAAGAGAAACAAATTGAAAAATATTTAGAAAAAGCAGCTTACCTACATATGGGCTTAAATGCTAAGCAAGTCAGAGAGCTGGCATACCAATTTGCAGTCATGAAGCAAAAACAAAACATCCCAAGTGGCTGGCACGAAAACAATATGGCTGGGTTGGGATGGCTTAGATATTATCGTCAACGTCATCCTCATTTGTCCCTACGGAAGCCTGAAGCAACCAGTCTGGCGCGAGCAAGTAGTTTTAACAGAGCTAATGTTTCTAGATTCTTTGATAATCTCCAAAAAGTTATCGAAAAATACCACTTCACTCCTGAAAATATTTACAATCTAGATGAGACCGGAATATCAACTGTCCATAACCCCAGAAAAGTTCTAGCCCCAAAAAATATAAAACAGCTAGGTAAATTTACATCAGCAGAAAGGGGAGTAAATAATACCATGATTGCCTGTATAAATTCAATTGGAAATGCAGTTCCACCGTTGATAGTCTTTCCTAGAGTTTTCTTTAAAGACAATATGTTAAAAGGTGCTCCTCCAGGTACGGTTGGTGCAGCTAACCAATCTGGATGGTCAACAGAAATTATTTTTAGAAAATACCTGGATCATTTCATACAAATTGTCAAACCTACTAAAGAAAATCCGGTTCTCTTAATAATGGACAACCATGAAACGCATATCTCAATTGAGATTATTGAAAAAGCCGCCAATAGTGGTATAATTCTGCTCACATTACCTCCGCATACATCAGATAATTTACAACCCTTAGATCGTTGTGTGTTTGGACCATTTAAGGCGCAGTACAATAAAGCTGCTGATAACTGGATGCTAAATCACCCTGGAAAGCCAATTACTATTTATGATATTTCAGAAATCGTCGGCGAAGCATATCCCCTAGCGTTCACACCCAAAAACATTATTAAAAGTTTTAAAGTAACGGGTATATGCCCATTTAATAGAGATATATTCAGTGAACAAGATTTTCTGTGCTCATTTGTTACTGATCGACCGGAGCCATTGACCACAATTTCTGAAAATACAACTCAAAATCAGTCTGTCACTGAAGAATCAGCAATCAATTTAAAGTGCAATCAAGATGAAACTCTTATTGACTACCAGGAGACACAGAATCCTAATAACAGTGTAGATGAAGATGTGCATATGGCTGGATCTTTAACCGGAACCCTTCAAAAGAATTTAGACATAGAAAGAAGCTGAACCTACTGCAAGCAAATCTGTTAATCAACTAGAAATTTCCTCTCTTAATAATACTGTTGGTGGATGTGGAAAAAGTAATGTAAATGCAGCAGTCACTCCGAGAAAACAGCTTATTTCACAAGTAACACCAGAGTCAGTACGCCCATTTCCAAAAGCAGACCCCCGAAAGGCAACGCGACGAGGAAGGAAACCTGGAAAAAGTAGAATTTTAACTGATACACCTGAAAAAAACGAAATAAAGAATGAAGCAATAAGAAAGGCAGAAAATAAAAGAAAAATTGAAGAAAAGAACAAAAATAAGAAAAATAACATACCGAAAAAACCAAAAAGTTCCTCTGAAGTGCAGGCAAAGGCTGGCCCTAGCCAGATAAAAATTCTTAAAGACGAGCTGTATGCCATGTGTATGGGATGTAGAAGATTGGCAAATGTTAACAAAATGCTCAATTGTTCTCTATGTGATTTAAAATATCACAAGAAATGTGTATCAAAGGCACACAAAGATAATTTAGAATCAGATGATGAATCTGGCTTTCTATGTGAGAAGTGTTTTATATTAGACGATGGTGATTCAGATGCCACTGATGATTCTGAATTAGAACTATATGAAAAGTATTGCGATGCCAAAAAAAACAATAATTATTGATTATTTGATGTTAAAGTTTCTTTATAAGAGAAACTCTGATTATTTTGTTGATTTTTAAATAATTATTACTAAGGAAAAGTGATATGTCCATAGGTACATTGCTGTCCATAGGTACAAGTACAGCTGTCCACAGGTACAATAATAACATGTACCTGTGGACAAATTTAGTATTTTTAAAAAATGTTATTTATTATAATAATTATAGTTAGTAAAAAACTTAAGACTGCTAATTCTTAAGCATTAACTATTCCTGTAACAACATTTGTGATAATTTACGGCTAATAAATGGAAATTAAGTAATTAAACCTTATTTTAGTTCAAAATTCGGAAAATGTCCATAGGTAAAACACTTTCCCCTACATTTTCTTTATTTTTATTTTATAGTTAATGTATATTTTTAAATTAGTTTTAGTGTATAAACTGATTAAGTGATTTGTATTAAGAAATCAAATATAGTATTTTCCTGAAAACGCTCACAATGTAACCGTAACACGAAGGTCCTATACCACGAACCACTTACGAAAATATTAAAAGCGGATAGTGTGACAAGATAAATGGTAAAAATATTACATATTTTTGTCCCAACCTTACCTATATATTTCTCGATAGATACAATATAAGAAATTCACAGAATACATTAGTAAGCAATTTTAGTGTAACATATAGAATCTCAAGAGAATTCAAGAAGCACATTTTTGGTATCTATAAATCTGAATACTTTTCTCTTCTATAAGACATATTTAATATATATAAAAGTGTCTACTAAGAAAACCTGTATTTATATTTATTGTTAAAGAAAGTGTTGTTGAATCAAAATATCAGAAAATATTTCTTTCCAAGATTTTTTATGATTCCATAGTGTCCAAAGAGAAAAAAATATATAAACACAATTAGATGAAAATACAAAACAGCCTACACGTACACAACTACCAATACCTCCTCAAAATCTTCCACACGAAGTAACATTTGGAAACCATTAATTTAAAGCAATTTATTATGCAAAAGGTCCATCATGAACGAGGTTCAATCATGAATTCGTTAAGAAAATTAATTAAGCAATAAAATATTCATGTCCAATTATGTTTGGTTCCAGTGGCCACCAAGATTGCTGAGGTGGGCATTCGCTATCCTGTTGATAGCTGCCATCATCGCACCTACATCAAGTACTTCTAGTAAGTATATTTATTTTGTTTTATTTGTTAAGAGTATTCTGAAGGTTGATTTATTTATACTATTATTGTACTAATTTTTTATACATAAGTAATGTTTACAAGTCTACAGGACCCATGCGAGGTCCTATAATTGAATTCAAGACTGTGTACCCTTAGAGACATCTTACAAGGTCTTTCCCTACTTTTTTAATAGCTGAGGAAGTACCAAAAACAATATTCACAAAAAAATATATTTTCTAATCGCCTATTAATAAAAGAGATGAAAAAAGAGCCAATAAGGCTCAATAGTGGGTCTTGATCGCAAGAAAGAATGACAAATTTTAAATATGTACTATTATGTAGGTAGTCTGTACCTTCTTCGTAACTTCACAACTCTAGAAGTCCTTGTTCAAACAAATTCACTAGTTCGCGAGTCGATTGCACTGCACGTTGAATTTCAATACGTTTTTGAAATTGAGTTCTGTACGTTCTAGAAGAATTTGATACTCTTATGTTATGAATACAAATGTCCAGTGCACTTGGATACTGGTCTGAGAAACATGAAATGTTATGATTTTTTGGAATTTCTCCCAATGCATGTAGCCTGATATCTAAGCATCAGGAGTACCATATAAGTGGTCAGCAATTTCAATTAAGTTTAGTTTCTCAGTAAGAGCTTAAGCATTGCCTTATAACGTGGCAATGCTGCCAGCCTTCAGGTTACTTTCCCTATTGACGGAAGAATGTTCCGATGCTCTGTGTAAATATTTTAGTTTTCTCTTATTTAATTTTTATCTTTTTGTATCTTATGTTGTATATATTTAGTAATTAATCGACTGTAACTGAAATAATAAAGACTACTTAGAAATTCTACCATTAAGTTTACAACTTTAATAAGTAAGCAAGTTTCAAGTTCGATTCTGGAGCTATTAGAATAGCAATCGAGTAATTCGATTTCAAAATATCAGTCCTTTTCTTAATACGCAGAAATACAGAGAGAGAGACTAAAGAGATTGTAACTATGTTTATGCACTCAGGAACATAAGAAGTGTCTATAAAATTCTGTCCAATAAACTGTCAAACACCAAGCGGTCACCGGTGACCGCAACCTATTGTTCTATAATTGTGTCTACAAAACCGGTACTCGACGAGTTAAACTGCCAGGTACTTCTAATAAAAATACCCATCATTTCATTTCCACACTACCTCAAAATATGCACAGAGGTTTCATCAATCAAATTACTAGACATAAATATCTAAGCATCCTGCCTTAAACAGTTTCCAGTCATTTCTAGAATTAAACAAATTAGGATCTTAGACCCAAAACTAATCATCTATGCTCTTTGCCTGACCTCCCAACTCAAGACTCGAATACTAGGCCACATCGTATGCAAATTGCTGCCAAAACTATTCACTAGTTTGGTCAAATATATGCAAATGTTGGTTAATTTGTCTTTTCGTTGTATGGTCTCTTAATGTCAAAGGCTATGTGACATCGGCTATATATAATATTTATGTTACGACCATTGACTTATGGTAATTTAGCATACATAGGTATTATAATAGGGTTTCCTTGACGGAAAATTAGTTTTGTTTATTTATATTTAAGAATCGTAATTTGATCTTAATGTGACATCGATTTTATTTTAAAAAGATTGACATTCCAGTGTATTTTATGCCAGAAGCTATGTCTAAAAATATGTTAGAGGATATTTTAACTCTAATGATATAACGAGTGTCCTTGTAGGATTTTATTGACAGTTTATTGGTCTCAACTGCCTTGTTGGCCGAGTGGTCGCAAGTGCGACTCCGGGCAAGGGGTCTTAGGTTCGATTCTCGGGTCGGGTAAAGTATTACTGGGTTTTTTCAAAAACTCTCAGTAGTAGCACGGAGTCTAGAATTGTGCCCGGTAAATGGCAATAGGCTCACCCCCTATTAAATGGGACTCCTAACATAAATAGTGAAAAGTGGGTGTTACATTGTACAGTGGCATTAAGTGCCGTGATGTACACCTTTGCCTACCCCTTCGGAGATACAAGGCGTGATGTTATGTTATGTTTATTGATCTCAATTGTTTTTATGACTTCTGACCTCAAAACGTGATCAGCTGATTCTCAATAAAAATGACATATTTTTTTGTTTTATGATCAAAATTTTCCTTGTTTTAATAATTTATTTTGCGTCGCAAAAGTCTATTTTCGTATCACAAATAACCGGTTGATATATTTATTTGTCACCTGATAACCCAAGCACAAACCAATTTATGTTTTAGCATCTTGAATTTGGAGTAGAAAATCATTAAACCATTCTTAAAAATAATTAACTCAATGCAAAATCCAGTCTACGCATATTTTCAGGAAACGAGCCTCACACTAAATATCAAATATCAATTTGAACTGCCAGAAAAACGTATGGTACGAGTGGTCTATGCTTAGCTGTCAGCTAAGCATAGACCACTCGTACCATACGTTTTTGAATATGGAATGGACTGTCGAACATCAGAACCTAACACTAGATTAAATGAAAATCTAGATTCAAGATCAGAGCGACACACAATAAAATAGCAATTTTATTTCGTGGGGTAGTTCAATATGTAAGAATTTAATAGTATTGGATTTCACAAATAATATGCAGGACGAGAAAATAAGTAATTTACAAAAAATGGATTCCTGTGATATGTTTAGAAAAATCACACTATCAATAATCAATCCTCGACCCACCATATCATTCCGTTTATGGCAAGAGCCTTCTAACATTCTAACCATCTGATGATTCTGCAGTAAACCCAAATATTGCTTTAGAAATACCCAACCTGTCAAACATTAGTCAGAATTCCAGAGTTATGGGTACACGACCAGATCCTGACAAGGCTCGACTGGACGCTGAAGATATATGGTTGATAATCCAGCAATTTATTTCACGTAAAAACATGCGTTTTTACCCATAGACTGTTTTAACGTGGATATTCCCTTTAATTGCATTTATTCATTGATAATTCTGTTTACGTTTTCCTTAAGTCGTGTTGTTAATATTGTTTGCCAAAGGGGCAGACAGAAATGTACACATATAAGACTTGCTTTTCATCAACTATAAAATTAGTGAGTGTTATGTTAAAATTAGTGTCATAGTTCATTATCTGATAAAAATATAATAATTTTGACAAATCCAATGGATTGAATATAAGATTTAATCTATCATAATTTCGTGTACCATACAAGTCCAATTTAACTATGGTCATATTGGCTATAAGGTTATATTCTCTTGCTTTGAGAGAACACGGATATCCCATAATTGAAATTTTCAGCTTGGTTAGTTGATTCGTTTCGTTACAACAAAAATCAAATTTAACTAAACTGAAACATTTTAATGAAATTAAAGATTGTTACGGACTCCATTTTAATTAATTACTGGTAAGAATCGAATTAATTACTCAAGTGTACCTTGAAATAGACTGGAAAGGAAATAGTGTGCTAATGACTCTAGAGTGCGTGATCATTTAGCTAAACTCATATATTCTCTGCTACATAAGTGCGTTTGTCTAATTAATTTGCATTCTATGTGTAATAGATTAGGGTTTTTGTTTGATTAGATCGCTAAAAAATAGAAGTCTTCATTGTTTAACTTATTCTCTACAGGCAAGTAACTATAGTAGCTATTTTTTATACTTAATATGTCGTCGTTTGACCACCGTCTCGCCTGGTGGTAAGCGACGATGTGGCCGACTAGCTTACTATCGAACATAGGATTAGCTTTAGACGCTGTCTTGTAGCAGACCAGTTTAAGTGTGGGAGAGCCATGCTTCGGCACGAATGGGCCGGCTCGACCGGAGTGATACCACGGCCTCACAGAAAACCGACGTGAAGCAACGCTTGCATTGTGTTTCGTCGTGTGAGTGAGGGTACCGGAGGCCCAATTACCTTTCCCTTCCCCTTCCCCAATCTCTCCAATCCCTGAATCCCCAACGATCCTCAAACTCCTAATCCCCAAAAATCCAGTGACGCACTTGTAACGCCTCTGGTGTTCCAGGAGTCCATGGGCGACGCCGATTGCTTACCATCAGGTGATCCGTCTGCTCGTATACCGGCTTATGCCATAAAAAGAAAGACCAAGCCAAAAATTTATAAAATAAATACTAAAATTTTAAAAATAAATATTTAGATCGTAACGAAAAAATAGCTACCTCTGGCATTAATTCCAACTTTAATTTCCTATTAAGTTCAAAACAAAATACTTACCGTTCAAGATCCTAACCCATCTTTTTACTGTGCCACAGTTAACTGGCTACCGCGGCTGGATAACTGGCTACCGTGCAACATACCGCGGGTTCGATTCCCGCACGGAACAACTCTTTATGTGATAGATAAATTGTTGTTTCGGGTCTGGGTGTCATGTGTATGTGAACTTGTATATTGTAAATGCAGCCTCGATATAGAAGAAACACCTAGTGTGGGACATCGTTAATAAAAAATAAAAAAGTCCAAACTCTACAAAAACAATTCAAAATCATTACAAAACAAGATAAAAGTCCACACTACAGCCATACCCTCACAAATCTTTCCAAAGATTTATGTGTTTCATGAAAGAGCAGCAGTATTTACCATCTGATTTGTCTAAAATGTGAGCGTGATAGCTCTGGAAACGTTCGCGAGCTGAATTTTGAGTTTGTTTTTTTATGCAAATTCGTTCTCGTGTTTGGTAGCCGGGTTTATTAATTGGATCGCCAACGAATCTGTTTTGAGTAACATGGTAGGATTTATTGAAATCAATGCGTATCTATATGTGGGTTGGTCATTTTTTATGTATTTACAAGTGACTGCCTCGTTGGCCGAGTTCGATTCACGGGTCGGACAAAGTATATCTGGGTTTTTAAAAAAATCTCAGTAGTAGCATGGAGTCTGGAATTGTTTATTATTTAAAAAAACGTTTATTATTTATATATTTATTATTATTAGGCCTGGTATATGGCAATGGGCTCACCCCCTACTACATGGGACTCATAACATATATAGTGGACGTTACATTATATAGTGGCATTAAATGCCGTTATGTGCACCTCTGTCTATCTCTTTGGGATAAAAGGTGTTATGTTCTTATATATTACAAGTGATCTTGATTTTATGTGGGACTATCTGAGAGAATGCATGGAAAGATAGGTTTATTATAGTGTTAACAGTGATTTTTTTGAGATGTAATAAATATAACATTCACCGCCATAGCACGAACCATTTTAATCACATATTTTTTATTATAAAGGACACTTGTCCTATAAAACTAGTAAAGATACTATTGAAGTCATGCGAATCCGACGCTAAATACTAAAGGTAAAGTTTAAAAAAATCTCCAAGTAAAGATATAACATAACATAACATAACATCACGCCTTTTATCCCCGAAGGGGTAGGCAGAGGTGTACATTATGCCACTGTACAATGTAACACCCACTTTTCACTATTTATGTTATGAGTCCCATGCAATAGGGGGTGAGCGTATTGCCATATACCGGGCACAAATCCAGACTCCGTGCTTCTACTGATAAAGATATATAAAGACTAAATAAAGATATATTAAATTGATAAAATTATCTGCAAACTTTTAAGTACAAGGTTCCCAATTCGATTCCTAAGAGAACAACACGTAAAAGGGTTTCGCAATTTCGATTCTCAGTAGCGACTCAATAGATATATTATATAAAACTTTTCATCTCTCCCTGGACAAAGGTAACGTTTTCTAAAACAAATACCCTAAACCCATACATTAAAACATTTTCTTTTTCGGAAAATATACAGACGAAAATGAACCATACAATTTTCCACTGAAAGTTGAGAATACTGTACAGGATTTGTAGCAGCGGTAGCGGTGTCCCATAAGGTCGTTTGAAAACGTTTGAAATTCAAAGTGTAGAGCAAGTTTATTACTCGGAATATATTGAACGAAATGTATCGGTAACATTAGTATTGTTTTTACATTATTTTTCTTTGAAAAGTTCCCTTTTCCTTTAAAAACAATTTCGTCGCTATTTGAATGTAAAACGTGTAGAAAAGATTTACGACTTTTTGCAACGTATTTTACTTATATGGTGCTCAAGTAAGCAAGCGAATTTATGGTTTAGATAATCGTTCAACCGTAAAAATATTCTAGTAAAAGTATTACCTTGAGATTTTCCATTTGTTAATGTATCTACTTAGCCCAAAGAAATTATGAATAATAGCACAAAATGCTCTAAATTTAATTTCAAAATGATATGACTAATCTAGAGGTATACAGATAAATATAATTGGGGTGTCTTTTTGAAATATAAAAATAATCGCTTTTTACTACATTCATATGAATATACATTTGATTCACATACCAAAATATTTTTTTACAATTTTTGACTGCCTATCTGTCTGTTTATATTCGCTAATTTCTGGAATAGCTAGACCGATTTTGCAAGACTATGTTCTAAAGTTTATTAACCATTAAATATTTTTTGTATACTGTAAAATTAGTTCCTTTAACAGATACTCAAAAACTTCTTTTTCTTCCACAGATGTCCGCAGAAGACTCCGCAAGCCTAGCAAAGTTTCAACTTCAGTTACATCCAGCGTATCTAGATCTTCAGACCAGATCATCTCAGCTAGTGTCAACAGGCCTAAGATACGTGGTCGACCTAACGTTGCCAGTCGGAAATCTTCAGCTGCTATTGATAATTCTGTCACTACTGACCTTCATAAAGACAAAGATGGATACAAAGTAAGTAATAATGGCATATTTCTTTATACGACGTCAATATGACGTTACTTTATGAAAATAATTGCTGTTACAAGTTCGTTTGGCACAATTAATGTATCAGAGAACCACGTACATAATTCTCAGGTATTTTTTGTGGCTTATAGTCAAACATAAAATAAGGAAAATACTTTTCTCCTATTTCAAATTGAAAAAAGACTGGGCGATAGCTCTTATTATTTCAACTTTAAAATATCAACGCGGATAATATATATTTCCTTCTAATAAATATGTCAGAAAAAGACAGTGGACCAAGCATGGAACCTTGCGGAAGCCTTAACACAAAGTTACAATTGCACTTTAAACAAAGTCTTGTTAAGCGATTTTAGTCTTTTTCCACTTGAGATAGAATCGCTACTAATAGTTTCCGACTCGCAAATGTCAAATTGTAAAAGAATAGTACAACACGGATATGAGTGAACTTTTTGAATGTAAAAGTAAAGTTGTTAGCCTTCAAAATAAGTATTTGCCTGCTTGAAGATTTTTATACCACATAAGTGAACTTTATTCCGTTTGAAATAGAGATCATAATGCGTGGCAATATTCATGTTTCACATGTTTAATGTTTCGCGAATGTCTCCAAGATAGGTTTTTGAATTTTCAAATTTTGTGGAGTTTTGTAATAGGAATCTTATTTTAAGTGTAGAGGGTTGAAATTTGAAATGGGAAAGAAGGAAACTTTTCATGTTAAATGAGCTCGTATTTTTAAGTAGTGGATGGGAGTAGGTTATAAAACGAAGTGCCTGAACGCAAACTTTACAATGGAATATGAATCTAGGAATATTCCTTTAATATTGTTTGAGAAAGGACGTTCAAATCCTTGGAGATAATTGTGTACATTGAAATGGTGGAACGTTCTTAAAATTTTTAGTATTCAGTGCTGTATTCTTTTAGATAGTATCTTCTTAAAGTCGCGTAATATAATATGTATAATTATTCCATTATGCAAAGAAAATTAAAATAATTTCAGGCAAAAATGAAACTTATTGCTTTTTAGAGTATAGTTTAATTTTAAAATTATAATTTTGTTTGCTTTAATTTACAATGATTTAATGACAAATAACAAATATTTGATTGCACAATTGGCGCGGTGGCTGGGCAACCGGCTGCCGTGCAACGTGTAGAGGGTTCTATTCTGGCACGGAGCAACTCTTTGTGTGTTCCACCAATTCTTGTTTCGAGTCTGGGTGTCATGTGTATGTGAATTTGTATGCTTTTAAACGCACACACAACACAACATAGGAGAAAGTCCTAGTGTGGTGCAATGTTTAAAAAATATAATATGTAATGTACCAAAAAGCTTATAATCTTCTACAAACTCTTTGTAAAATAACATAGGTAACATTAGCTAATACTCAAAGTTCTAACAAAGTATTGACAGCAAAATAAATCCACCACATCCTGAGCAAAAATAAAGAGGACTGTTTCCATTTTGTTGCAAGTTAAGATCGGAGCTAAACTTTATGGAACCACTACATAGTATTGACTGAAGTGGTTGAAGTTTCATCACCTTTAAAGTTATAATTGGTGAAGCCAATGGAAAAGTTAGAAGTACCTGTCCATTGATTTATAGTCTTTGTTTTCTTTTGTTAGTTTTGTTTTTTAAATGGAATATATTGTCTTGTTTTGTTGTTGATATCATGTATTTTGAATCGTTTATTTTGTACATAACGTTCTATTTTAATCTCAATAATTTTTACGAATATTTTTTCTTATAGCAACATACAACGGACGTCAGACGTGCATAATTATGTTACATATCCCATAATCTATACATCTATACAGATAAATAAAATTGGAGTGTCTGTTTGGAATATTAAATTTTTGTCTGTCTGTATATTAATATTGACTAATCTCTGGAATGGCTAGACCAATTTATTATTACCTATTGCAAGACTTTAGTTGACAGGTACCTGATGTATTAAGGAGTAACATAATGCTAATATTATTTTGGAAAATTAAAACAAAAAGGAAGTTATTTTCTAAAATTAACTGTCTACGCAGACGAAGTCACGAGCAACAGCTAGTAATATGATAAATACTAAAGCCAACAACTGTATTAGTACCAGTACTAACAAAATGAAAAAACCTAATTAAGTGTATAAATAGTCTAACCGACAAGTCTTAATATCCCTTGCTAGGCGGTCACATCTACGAACTACGCGATTAACCCGTTACGCGTCTGTCTCCTAACAATATTCTCACTATAATAACTAATTGTCTATCTCCTAATTAATCTCTCTCCCGTTCTTCCACCAGATCGTCTGCTACTACACCAACTGGTCTCAATATCGTACCAAGATCGGCAAGTTCACGCCAGAAGACATCCAGCCTGACCTGTGCACTCACATCATCTTCGCTTTCGGCTGGCTGAAGAAGGGCAAGCTCAGCTCTTTTGAATCCAATGATGAAACCAAGGACGGAAAGACCGGATTGTATGACAGAATCAATGCGCTGAAGAAGGCTAACCCTAAGTTGAAGACCTTGCTTGCTATTGGTATGTTTGATTTTTTTTAAGGGTGGAAAATCATTGAATGACTGCTCACGCCTGGGTGAGGCGGGAGGGAGTGTCAGACTCTTACTGACTAAAAACCACCCCGTTCCTTCTCCTGCGCTTCGAGCCGGAGCCCCGGCCACCCGTTAGCTTCTCCGTGACTCCGAATCGGTTCTTTCAGGTTTAGAGTTGTGTATAGTACGTAATGACTATACTTTACAAGGATTGTTAAATTTCTATCCAGTAGTTGTTATAGTGGCGAAGAAAGTTTGGATGGTCGCAAGTACGTCTGCAAGGCAAGGGGTCGAGTTTAATTCCCGTGCCAGGTAAAAAATTACTGGGTTTTAACTAAATCTCCGTAGTAGCACGGTGTCTGGAAATGTACCAGGTAGATATATGGCAATAGGCTCACACCCTATTACATGGGATTCATAACATAAATAGTAAAAAGTGGGTGTTACATTGTGCAGTGGCATTAAGTGCCGTAATGTGCACCTCACTTCACCCTTTGGAGATAAAAAGCGTGGTATGTCTTATATGAAGATTTTCATCTATCACGTAAAATTTCTGTAGCATTACCAAATTACGTGATTGCATGATTAAATAACAACAGTATAACAGTGTTATTTTGTCAAATGGCATAGAAATAGCATTCAAATTAAATTCTATGTCAACAATAAAGTAATAATTATTAGATAATTAATTTTAATGATCTTGTAACATGCCTCCTATATGAATTATGCAAGCGTAGAATAAAATTTATGCTAATTTTACAACTAAATGCATCAACTTTTCTAAACAAGTTAAATAATTATTTTATTGAGGAAATGCATGAACAATATCATAAATTAATTGCTTATTTAATATTGAATGTTGGTTTTTACGACCTATTGACCTAACCACAATACAAGTATTATGTAATGTCAAAAGTTTAACTCTATTGATTGAGTGCTGGACTAGTTACAAGATTACCTGTCGAACTTGCTTACTTACTGTTATTTGATTTTGTCATTATAGCTAACTAGCAACAGCTAGTCGAAGTAGGATTTGACATCAGAACATAACATCACGCCTTTTATCCCGGAAGTGGTAGGCAGAGGTGCACATTACGGCACTTAATGCCACTGTACAATGTAACATCTACTTTTCACTATTTATGTTATGAGTCCCATCTAATAGGGGGTGAGCCTATTGCCATATACCGGGCACAATTTCAGACTCCGTGCTACCACTGAGAATTTAATAGGATTTGATTCCTGTTTTATTCCATGGAAGCATTGAATCGGGATTAAAAGTATCATATATCCTAAGTCAGTTCATACCCTGCCTGTATACCAAATTTCATCTTAATCTATTTAGTAGTTTCAGCGTGGTTGACGTACAAACATCCAAAGAAAGAAACTTTCATATATTTATAATAATAATGTGATGTAGCTTTACGGTTTTACTTTTTTTTAAAGGTAGTTAAAGGAATCTCATGGGAGTGAAACTATTTTTTTTAATTTCAATATTGTTTAAAAATATCCTGGTTTATTGTTAATGAAAGAATATTAGCTTAGGATCTATTTCCACTGCTGTATCAAAATAAATTTTATAAGGAATAAATATCAATTATACATAATATTAAATTTGCTAAACCTGTTCACAATTCGATTCATTTATTCTGATTTATCACCAGCCAAAGAAAAGTTGAAATGGAAAACAAAAATATGAAAAACCATTTCATATTTTTAAAGACCTCTTTGATAATCCATCCGAATAAATAGACCGTTCAAAATACACCAGATATCGCGTCCAACAGACAGAGAGTTTTAAAATCGATATTAATAGTGATGCCCAAAGATATATCGATAAAATTTAATGGTCGAGTAAAGTTTATCGATTAAAATGGTATGTGTTTGATAGCCAATAGCATATAATATGACATAACATCAAGCCTGTATTTCTATGAGGACAGCAAAGTTTAGAATAATATAAATTATCATACTTATTAAACTGGTTTTTGTTATGTTAATTTTATTAGTGTCATGTAATGGCACCTGATGATTATTGCCGGTAGAGATATTAGCGTCTTACTAAGAATTGCATTGTGACTAGTTTATATGTAGTATCAGGTCTGATTCAACCCTTTGTTTATAGTATTCGAATTTCTGGTTTAAATGTATCTGTATTGTATCTGAAAAAGAACAAAAACATCAACTTATAAAAATACGACAAATAGACCCACTCTTAACTCGTCAAGTACCGTCATTATAGACACAATTATAGAACAATAGGTTGCGGTCACCGGTGACCGCTTGGTGTTTGATAGTTTAAAAACGACAAAAATTACTTTCTATATTATAAATCAAATTAAATCCCAAAATATGTAACATACATTATCAAATTTCATTATCCACATATAAAAACAACACAACCAGTGACGTAACAACATATGCTTCAAACAACAAAACATCTTAAATACAAATAAACCTTTTATAAACACAAAAGTGTTAATGACGTTGCAAAAAAAAAAAAACAATAAGCCGTCTTGCTTTCATACACATGAACTTACATAACGCAACGATTGATACCATCAATCATCAATCATCAACCGCTCAATCAAGTACTTGAAGCAATCAGTGTAATAATATAGATAATTATTATGTCGTATATGTCAAGTTTTTATGGTGTCACAACTTTCTAATAGAAGCTTATGTTTTGTATGGATCACGGCAAATTGATATGTTGGAGCAATCATGGTTGTGAATAGGCTGATAGAAAACTATATGATGGTAAGTTTATTTTAGGCGATCTAGTAGAAAGTTTTTAATTTTGTTTAGCAAAAATGAAATGTATATTGCAATAGCTTTTAAAAAACTAATGAAACAGACAGAATTCATAATTTTGGTCTACGTTATTTTATTTTCTATAAATCAAAAACTAACTAAAACAATCTCTTTTATAAATATTTATTTCAAAATTGTTGTAAAACTTTTTTTGTAGTTATTTTTCTAATAAAAATAAAAAGTATCGATATCGCAGCCCCCTCTCTAAACATGTGCGAACTCACCGCACCGCCTTTCCCACGGCACAAAGCGCATTCGTGCGACATTTTCACCTATTTTCACGGGAATGCCTACAAAAACCGCGCCTATTTTCATGAGAGCTACGTATAGTCTGTGGTGCAATGCATTATGACTGACTAAAGAAGTCGACACACCATTTTTTATCGATCCACTTCACTATTCAGTTGCGAAAATTCGCTCGAGTTCATTAGCAATTAGTGCTGTGAATTTGATAGATTAATGTGAGATAATTTTTATCGATATAATAGGTATTGAATGTTGGTTTAGGTTTTTGTATTACCGTTTGAATGTTATTGTTTAGTTGTGTAGTTTAATGATGGATTGATTTCATGATCGATAGATGTTTGGTACAGTTTAACTATTGTATTATTTCTGTATGATTTTTCACATTCAGTATACTTTGCTAAATTATTTTTGAAAATAATTTGTGATGGTATTAGCCACCACCAGGTACTCGACTTTAAACTTTAACCAAATATTAATTGGGTACCTTATCTATCTTCCTCAGGTGGTTGGTCGTTCGGTACCCAGAAGTTCAAGGAGATGTCAGCGACTCGGTACGCTCGTCAGACGTTCATCTACTCTGCAATCCCCTATCTTCGTGACAGGAACTTTGATGGTCTGGATGTAGACTGGGAGTACCCTAAAGGAGGAGACGACAAGAAGAACTACGTGCTGTTGTTGAAAGGTAAGATTTTAAAGACAGAAATTAATCTTGAAAAGAAAGATTTTAAAGACAGAACTTTAAATTTAGAACGATTTTAATTTGACGTTTTCTACGTAATATAGGTTTTTTAACAAGGAAAAGTCAACAATCAAATAATGTAATCAACTTGCTACATAATCATTAATTTAAATTTCATACCACGATACTCTGAGACATTTAATGATTACTTAAACAATTCCATAATAATGATTTTGTTCCGAAAACAATTGTATCCATTAAATGACTCTGAGTACGGCGGTTAATTTTAATTTATGACACATATCTGAAAAACACTTATGAAAATAGTCAGAGGTGAACGAATGAATTTTAAAACATAGCCATGAAATACGCAGGTAAATAAAAAACAACTCCGTATACAATTGTATACAAAAAACAAAGCGATAAATACACAAATCCATCCATCCATCCATCAAAAAATACAAAAATAGAAAACAATACGTGAACCTCGAAATATTTGTTTCGCAATATATTGTGTCTGAAAGCTGCAGTTTTCCGGTATTTTACCTCTATCCCGGGATTCATTTTATATGTAATCTGGCCCGGGATTGCAATACTGTGTCCGTGGTATCTTCTAAATATTGGCAAATATCGGACTGTGGTCGGACTCAGGTGACCGTTGCAGAGTTATGAAGATTTAGATGGAATACTGTGTAGTTTTTTTTTAATAATTACGACTATCTTTAAAGTAGTTTAGAAGTCATGTCATGCCAATTATAATATAGATCAAGTTTACTATGATGCTGTGAATTCACTCTTAAAATTGTCAAAAATTATGAACTTGAAACATCTGGGCTTCACTAAAAAGCGAGACATATTTTAATTTGTCAAAATGTTGCTAAAAATGTATTAGTATAGGTTAATTCCCAAGAGACAAAACTAAATTCATTTAAAATAGATGCGTGTGAAAGTGATATAGTGTGATATCAATTACAATAAATATTTAATGGTATGGTTGATCCTATTTCGTCCCATGTGGTACAAGTAAGGGAGGGTTACGTAAGCCGGAGAGGGTTGACTTGTTTGAATGAAATATTCAAACTACAATCAATGTTAAATTGTGTTATGGTCTATCTTAAGTCATTTTAGTTTAGTGTCTGGAGAAAAGTAATTTAGGTTTACAAATGCATGTTAATAAATACTGTAACGTGCACGGCGAGCCGAACATAGCCGAGCTAGGCTTCGCTCGCGTTTGCGCACTCGTCGCATCTCCGCACGACCAACGTGCGAAACTTCTAGAAAAAAAGTCAAGTCAACACGCATGTGCGAGACGCACGTGACCCGCGAAGTTCAAACAAGCGAGAGGCGGCCGTCACACAGCTCTGCATAGTTTTTTTCAATTTGTTTTCCCTTAATCCCAGTTGGAAAATATTTTACGGGTTTTCTTTGTTAAGATTACAGTGGCGCCCAACGTGGGGCCCGAATCACGAATATACTATGCCAAACACACGAGCTATGCGCGCTGCTAAAGCCGCGCTCGACGCGGACAACCAGCCGAGCGACGTCAGCGACCGCGAAGATTATGACGAGGCTACGGAGCAGAGCCCTGTACGGGCCCCCGAACCTGTCACCGCGTCTGAACGTACCGGCGCCAACGCTAGAACAACGGACACCGAGATGTTGTTAGCGAACATGATGGAATCATTCGTCAAGATGCAAGCTGAGACCAACAGGTGCCTGGTGGAGACACTGAGGGCGTTACCAGCGGCCTGCGGCCCATGGCAATCGCCGCTGCCAGCATCAACACCGACGCTGAACGCCATCAGTACAGGATCGTCTGGGAACTTCGCCAAATGTACCGCGCGGTTCAACGGAACTTCCCGTGAACCAGAGGTGCTGGAAGCATTCATCGACGCTGTCCAAGTGTTTAAGGAGTGCGCGGACGTGAGCGATGATCACGCGCTGCGGGGGCTCCCGATGCTGTTGGAGGGCGACGCCGCCGTGTGGTGGCACGGCGCCCGCAACACCGTCGCTACGTGGAAGGACGCCGTGCTACGACTTCGCGCCATGTATGGTACGCCGAAGCCGGCGTATAAAACTCTACGTGAAGTTTTCAGCCAAGAACATAAACACGAACGTGCTGAAGTATATGTGTGTAGAATTAGATCTCTATTAGTAAAGTTACCGTACGTAGTGCCAACACCCATGCAAATAGATATAATTTACGGGTTGTTACACCGTCGTGTACGTAAACGTTTACAACGTGACGACATTGTTGACATAGACGGTTTTATAGAGAAGGCGAGAGCCATCGAAGACGCGATCTCCGAATTATCGTTGAGTACCGAAAATTCTAGTTATACTGCAAAACTTAACATTCCCGAAACAACAAATGTTTCCCACCCGCAGGCTTCGCGCGATTGCGATAAGAGTGATAAGAGCGAAATCACCACTACCACGGGTAATTCGAACGAGAACGCGAAAAGGGTTAAACGCGTTCGTTGCACGTTTTGTAAGTTCTACGGTCATACGGTTGACGAGTGTAGGAATCTTAAAAATAAACAAGCCGCAAACACCGACTCCTTAAAAAATAATAATAGTAGCCCTGTCATTCGTTGTTATGGATGCGGTCAAGTGGGCGTAGTGAGGTCGAAGTGCGACCGCTGCGTCGGGAAAAGTGTACCTCCGCGAACGTGCGATTTTAACACAGTGACTGACGATGAGGCCACACACGGCACAGACGCTCCGCACGTAATATCATCATCACATCCAACCGTGTACATTAACATCGCGAATAGGGAAGGCGCGGCTATCTTGGACACAGGGGCTAGTTGCACTATTGCGGGTACCTTATTATATAATATTCTAGTTTCGGAAGGAATACAGTTTTGCGAGTCAGAACGCACCATTGGGCTTGCGGACGGTTCTCGAAAACTGAAACGTGTACTCATCGCGACAGTTCCCGTGTTGTTAGAAGGTAGACAGATAGATACTGATTTCCTAGTGTTACCCGAGGAAAAAACTGTAACCTTATTAGGTCGCGATTTTATTAGTAAGGCTGGTATAACACTAGACCTGGCCCAGGAGTCATGGTATTTTTCTGACAACCCAGGGGAGATATTCCCATTTGTGCGAACTGTCATTTTAAATAACGCCGAACTGATGCAAGCCGACATCTCTGATGTATCCCTGCGTGATGACGAAGGTAATGGGTTATCACCAGAGCACAGGGGCATACTCAACGCCTGTTTGAAGAAGAGATCGGCCCAGTTTGCTGCCGAGGGACCACCGACAGATTTCGCACTGCATAAGATCAAGGTAAGTGACGACCAGGAGCCTATTGCTTCACCTCCTTACAGGCTGTCACCGATGAAGAAGGAAGCGTTGGAGAAGGAACTCCAAAAGCTACTCAGCGCTGATGTGATCGAGGAGTGTGAGTCTCCGTGGGCTTCGAACGTCGTTCTGGTCAGCAAGAAAGACGGGAGCTACAGGCTTTGTATTGATTATCGTAAGCTCAACGCGGTCACAGAGCCTGATCGCTACCCGCTACCTAGAATCGAGGACATCCTTCACGCTGCCAAGACGTCCAAGTACATGACGACTTTAGACCTTCGATCAGGCTACTTCCAGGTAAGCATGGATCCAGCACACAGAGACCTTACGTCTTTCACGACACCTTTAGGGACGTTTAGATTTAAACGCATGCCTATGGGACTTCGTAATTCTGGAGCTACTTATCAAAGGTTGATTGATTGTTTCAAGTCCAACTTGCCAGGTGTCACTATTTTAGCTTATTTAGACGACCTGTCTGAGGAGTCTAACGATCCATTTAGGGGGAGAGTATGGGCCGATAAGAGATACGTCGTTGTCGACGGAATATTATATCGCTATGGGCCTGAAAATGAAGAAAATGACGACGCAAGCTTAGTAGTACCGGAGCATGAACGTAAGGATATACTAGCCGAATATCACGATGTTCCCACAGCTGGTCACTTTGGCGTGGAGAGGACATTGCAGCGACTCTCAGGTAAATATTATTGGGCTGGCATGAGGAACGATGTTTCTCAATATATAAAGAACTGCGTGGCGTGCCAACGTTACAAGGTGGACACGCGGAAACCTGCCGGCTTGCTTCAGGTACCAGCTACTTCTCGCCGATTCGAAGTCCTGGCGGTAGATTTGTTCGGGCCTTTACCAGAAACGCCGAGCGGCAACAGATGGATCCTGATATTGGAAGACACCTGCACCAAATGGGTGGAGTTGTTTGCTCTTCCAGCTGCAACGGCTGAAGAATGTGCTAAAACACTGGTGAACGATGTATATTTACGCTATGGAGTTCCCAGAAGGCTTATTAGCGACAACGGTGTACAATTTGTAAGTGAGGTCATGCAGCAGACTTGCCATGTAATGGGCATTAAGCAGTCACTGACGTCATACTATCACCCGGAGTCGAATCCTGTGGAGCGCAAGAATCGCGATCTCAAACCACAGCTCGCAATCCTGGTAGGTAAAGAACATGATTCGTGGGATACTCACCTCCCAGCAATTCGTTTTGCAATGAACTCTGCAGTTACTGCGAGTACTGGTCAGACACCTGCATACCTGACTTTCGGACGTGAGATACGTGCGCCTGCTGATGTTTTATCAGACATGCGCGCTATTGTCGAACAAGAGAACATAGTCGCGTCGATAACTCCTTACTTAAGGAAGCTGTCAGTTGTGTTGCTCGACGCTCGAGATGTGCACGAAAAAGCCCAGGTGTCTCAGAAGAAGTATGCAGATGAAAGACGCCGCCCGGAATCGGATTATAAGGTAGGTGATATGGTGTTATTGAAAACCCAAGGACCCAATGATATAGGAAAAGGATAGACGCCGAAGTTCATTCCCCGGCGAGACGGTCCGTACCGCATCAAGGAGATTGTGGGACTTACGACTTATGCGCTCGAACGCATCAGTGATGGGGTTTTGTTAGGAAAATACCATGCATCCTTGCTAACACCATTTGTGGGTTCCGTACAAGCCCC